CTAAACCCTAGGAACTTGAGACCATCAAGATATCTGAAATTGGTAGCAGATAACGGACCACGCGAAGAGTGTAGATTCTCTGGCAAAACGGGTTACGTGAGGAACGACAGTAAGAGAAAATAACTCACCTGGAGAAAGTTGAAGTTAGATTTGAGTGGATCGATGACACTGTTGAGAATGGCTTCAGCTGGCAAACATGCTGCAGTCGAGGAAGAGGAGTTTTCAGGCACTGCTGACGTGCCGACATTGCAAACGGATTCGCTTTGAGATTTCGCAGACTGACCACCCTCAGGTAAATTAGAACGCTCAGGTTCGAGTTTATCTTTGCGTATGTCACCTAAAGGTGAAGCAAGCGCAGATCGAACGACTTCATCTGAGAGAAGATCTAGGCAAATTTGTCGCAATTCTGCAAAGGTTACGGAACGCGCCTTTCCAGCTCTACCGTTTGCAGATGCCTGCGCACCACTCGCTAGTTTAAACAAAAATTCTGCAGACCGCTTGAAAACATTTGAAGAGTCAATTTCGTCAATTTTAAAACCGATAGGCGGGCGAAAAATGAGGATTTTTGACGCATTTTCTAACGCTTTCAGATGGTTTGGCGAAGAAACCTTGGTAACAGCTGCCTTCACAGCAGGCAATTGGAGCTTTAGAAGAAGTTCCAAGAATGGACAAATCTTCCGAAATGCATCAATGGTATACTTCTCACGCAAGGCACTCATTCGTATCTCATTCTCCTTCACAACAAGATCAACCTTAACTTGCATCTCAGTGATTACATCAGCAGTTTCTTTTAAAGCATCAACCTGCTGGCAAACAGAATCATATTCAGCAACCGCCTTCTCTTGATCGCAAGTGAGATAACCTCCATTGCGTAAGGTCTCCTTGTAGGATTCCAATCTTGCCTAAAGATACTAAGACAATATCAAAAAGTACCTTGCGCTTAAGAAGATTTCTTTGCTTTTTCTCAAGATTGCAGGCATACTCAGCCATTACAGAGGTGGGAGACACAACCTCACCGGACATCCTTTCTGATGCACGTAAGCAAACGACCAATCGCGCCGAAGTGCGGGGTGTGTTTGATAGGTAAAACAATTCATCGCTGCATATTAAAAGCAAAAAGGTTTGGTGCTACGTTACAAAAAGGAATTTGAAACAAAAAATAATTAAAGCGAAAAAATGCATGACTGTTTTATTGCTTATTGTATACTTACCTTCCTATATGGATCTAATTTGCTATATTTATTCCAGTCTATTTATAAAGTCTGCTAGTCTCCATGCGTGCTGTAGCACTCCTAGACTTACTATTCAGTATAAGAAGTCAGTCAGTGCAGCTGGATACGTGTATTCCGAAGACGGCAGGACAAATTGGTCTGGGCATGACCCGAAGGCCAGCCCACGTGTACAAGGACCAGACAAATCCTAAAGGGACCGTCAACCGTCATGTGGCCACATAAACAACGTATTACAATATCCAGTGCCAAAACGAAACTCCTACAAGTCAGCTGCGCTAGTAATAATCTACCTCGAGACTACCTTCTAAGCAGCTTCAAATGGTCCTTCAGTTGCCTTTGACCTGCAATCCTGTATCATGGGAGAGAATTTCCGTCTAATTTCGATTGCATACAGGGTTAGCGTTGGTACACTGACCTTAGGCTGAATGCGTGGCAGAGAAACCGAGATAAAGCAGTTCGAATGGAAAGGAATTTAGCTCACTGGCATTTCCATCGGCATTTACGAGCAGATGCAGTAGGGCGATCTCTGAAACGAAACTTTTCAGATGGTTTAGAGAAGTGTCGCATCATTTTTTAATGCATTGCTAGTGCAAACTAGGGTAAGGCGGGTGTCAAACACGGATGTCGTTCTCAATCCTTCTGATGTAGGGAAGTTTTGGAAACTAACACTTTAGATATGCTCACTTCATCCACATCGTAGAAGTTCGCCACAAGGGGTGAAAACTAGCATTTGGTTTGTAACGTAGTTGAGTTTGCTTTCTGCTGCCACCAGTGTAACGTCCCGCTACTTCTCGTTCAGTCGAAGAAAGCCATTAAGCAGGGCTGAATACATATGCTCAGGGAGGGGAAGAGATTGTGCTTTGGCTTAATCCAAAGGCCAGCAAACACAAGAGCAAGCATAGTTAGTCCACTTACAGTATCCTTTTAACTGCTGGAAATTTTACGGACGCTTGTCATTATTTTGTCAGCTTCGTGTCCCTCCCTCACATGGGAAAAGACGTTTGACGTCACCATATGGGTCAGCCTAAGCAATCGAGGCTGTCGAAACTTCTAACCACCCGCAAAAATTTGCCATGAAAGTACTCCAACACCATCAAAGGTCACACCATTTACGATATATTAGTTTAACCCTTTATATGCACACACATCTTCAAAGCATTTACGTAGGGGTAGGCATCCCAAGTACGAATTGAGAGGAGACAGTAGAAGCCAATCTCCCAAGGCTTTCTTGCCAGCATTTTGCTGACCGCGGTTGCTGGTTGAGGTTCCGGACGGTCCCTGTTGGAGGTTACGAATCTGGTGCGGAAGCTGCAGGCTCGTTGACACAAAATGGTTTACTCCGTCCTGCAATTCACTGATGAGTGTTTTGGAAGCGTTGGAAATTGGTGCGACAGGACCGCCATTCCATACGCAATCAAAGTCGCCTATGCGCCGCTCAGCTCCACTTAGTCGACCCTCCATGTCAACAACATCCAATGTGTCACTCAATAACTTGACCTGCAATGATGGATGCATGAGGCAATGATTCCGGTGTGATAAATGGGCTAATCTTAGTTGGATCCTGAATTCCGCTTTATTAGTCTTCATCCTAAGCATAAGAATGAATTATGCCAGTTGATTATACACAAGCAAAGTATCCTTGGTCTGAAACCAGTGAGTATCAGTAATTCTTATTCCGGTTAGGACAAACTATAATGGGAAAGCCTATCCAACGATTAAGAAATGGAACGTGGACAGGGCGTTGATCGACCCGAAATCACACATTTGCGCCTCGCATTTGGGAGTAAGATACCAAATCATTACAATGCTGACGACTTAAATGGTTTTAACCGGTTTTGTTGCATAAAAACGGAAGACAAGTCATAGCTAGTACAAGTAAACGGCGGCCGAAACACGACGTGCACTACACAACCCATCACAGCACTACAACAAAACGTACAATTTCGTATTTCAGAGGAGTGGTAAGATACAGAAGCTCACGCATTACTTTTAAGGCGTAATCTTCGTTTGAGCTTGCAGTCAAAGATGGTGAGGCGTTTATTTCAAGGAGCCACGGTTTGAGAGTATTGTCTACAAGGATGTCGTAGCCGTAGAGCTCAAAACAGTGCTTGTCACTGATCATTACCTTCTGGACACTCAATAAGCTCACAATGAAAATCGCATTGATCTCTCGAAAGAGTTTGGTCACCTATTGAAGAGTGAAAGGTAAGAAAAGGCCCCTTAAGCACCTAACAAAAAATAGACTTATTATAATTATTTATTTCCAGAGTGCTACTATTAATATTCAAAATCATGTTTCTTTTGCCACAACCAATGGCTTAACGAAAGCAATATAGCCTCACAAAGTTTGGCTCTCATAGCAAACCCACCTTTTCATATCCGTGTTTGGCCAACATATAGCGCCGAAGGCGACAAATTGACCACTTGCAGCCCTTCATCGCATCATAATCGGGTGCTGTTTTCTGAATTGCAACGTTAGTCAAATGGACATCTAAAGGACAACTGTGAAGGAAATATTGCCGAATTAGTTCAATAATCAAAATCCAATCAAGATAATTTAGGTACCAGTTTTGAGGTCTGAAAAGCATCTTGAAAACACGTGAACGCATAACCAGTGATACAATGAAACAAGAGAACATTTAAAAATGGAAAATGATTTTAAAAAGATACATTGGTCATCAATTGATTCCATGGAAAACCCAACGTTCGACAATCTTGCAAAACCATCTCTGTAAACCCAGACCTTCAGAGGTTGAAACTAAGAGATGAAAATTTAAAAAAATGGAAGATTTGAACAAACCATGCATTTGCAGAGCAAATGAGACATTAATCATCACGATCCTAATAGCAGTTGCGATGGTGTTAAAATTAAGAGTATACGAGGGCATACAAAAGCCCCAAGTTTTAAAACTGTGGAAGAGAAAGAGACGTACGGAAGTAACGAGCACGTAAACACGCAAATCGAATTTTCTCCCACCAATCAAATACGGGTTATCAATATAACGCGATACTACATAATGTTCGGGTAACTCCCTGGCCTCCGGTTCAGCATTGCCCTCATTCTGCATAAAAATGGTTAAATTGAAAAAAACCACCTTAATGGAGTAGGTAAGACCACTCCCCCTTT